ATTCACTCAGCAGTCAACTAATCCATTACCCTAGCATCATTAATTCATTTGACAACTAGCAACTGAACATGACCATGTACTAGATACTGAACTAGGAGCAAAGATAAAAGAAACAAAGTAGACATCTTGTTGATTAAATAAGGCTTATGTGTCCTAGTCTGAAATTGGGAGGAATACAAAACACTTTTAAAATTTTAAGAAAATAAAACTGTTGGGATAGACAGTGAATGAAGTGACTTCATTCACTTAGAGTGCTGCTCAATTACCAAAGGCTTCTCTAAGAAAATGACATTCCAGGACTGGGGATGTAGCTCAGTGGTAGAGCACTTGCCTAGCAAAAGCAAGGTTCTGATTTCAATCCCCAGTGCAGCAAGAAAAAAAGAAAGTGACTTTGGAGCCAAGATCTGAATGACAGGAATCATTCAAAGGACAGGGTATTTTAGTCCTGTAGAGAGAGCCCACAAGTTTGAAAGGGGAAATTTGCTTTCAACTTTCAGTATACGGAGGAGTCAGGTTGTGTTAAGTGCTGTGGGCAAGAGTCAAAATATGGATTTTCTCCTAAATGTGATGAGATGCCAGTGGAGATTTTAGTGACATCATCTGATTGCCTTATCTGTAAAATGAGGATAAGTATTAAGTACTTTGGAGAATTTTTGTAAATAAACTGCTCAAAATGTTATAGGAACTCAATAAATGAAAATTGTTAATTTTGTTTTGTTTTGTTTGTACCAGGGATTGAATCCAGGAGTGTTTAACCATCTAGCCACACCCTGGGCCCTTTTTTTATTTTTTGAAATAGGGTCTCTCAAAGTTGCTTAGGTCACCAAGTTGCTAAAGATGGCTTTGAACTTGCCAGCCTACCTCAACCTCTCAAGACAAACCAGGCCAATTCAATGCATCTTTATGGAACATCTACCAAGCATCCCCAGAGGCTTTAGAGATGCCTAAGTCACAGTCCCAAAAAACCACCTAAAAGTCAAGACAACATATATTTAATCAGAGAGATGGGAAATAAACAGAGTAACATATGATATATTCAATGGTGATGAGTATTTACAAGTATCATATCTAAAATATCTTGTGTTTTTATTGTTTGATCAATTCACTAATATATACTCTATTCTTTAATACGTACAGTATTTAGGTCCAGAGGTATATCTCAGAGGTAAAGCACCTGCCTAGCATGTGCCAGCACCAAAAAAAAAAAAAAAAGTACAGAATTCTGTAATAACAATTTAAGTTCCGGCCAGGTGCAGCAGCATGCACCTGTAATTCCAGCAACTGGGCAGGCTGAGGCAGGAGGATCACAAGTTCCAGGCCAGTCTAAGCAACTTGGGGAGATCCTGTCTCAAACTAAAAAAATAAAAGGGACTGGGGGTGTAGCTCAGTAATAAAGCACCCCTGGGTTCAATCTATGTACCAAAAAAGAAAAAGAATTTAAGCTCTGAAATTAAGACTGCTTGGGTTGAATTTCAGCCCCACCACACTGTTTCCTTAAACTTTCTCAAAGGATTGTTGTGACACATAAGTTAGTATATGTAAACGGCTTAATTAGTATCTATCCATGTATTTAATAAATTCACCTTTACGAGACCTCCCTAACCATCCTTTTTAATTTTTTTTTTTAGTTGTAGTTGGAAAACAATACCTTTATTTTTTTATTTTTATGTGGTGCTGAGGATCGAACCCAGCGCCTCACACATGCTAGGCAAACGCTCTACTGCTGAGCCACAACCCCAGCCCCTCCCTAACCATCTTTTTAAAATTGAACACCTTGGGCTGGGGATGTGGCTCAAGCGGTAGCCCGCTCACCTGGCATGCATGCGGCCCGGGTTCGATCCTCAGCACCACATGCAAACAAAGATGTTGTGTCGGCCAAAAACTAAAAAATAAATATTAAAAATTCTCTCTCTCTCTCTCTTAAAAAAAAATTAAAAATAAAAATAAATAAAATTGAACACCTCCATACCTGTGCATGAGTACAGGGATATCTCTCTCTCCCTTTTTTTTTTCAGTACTGGGTATCAAACCTACGTACTTGGCTGGGCGCAGTGGCGTGCACCTGTAATCCCAGCAGCTCAGGAAACTGAGACAGGAGGATCAAGAGTTCAAAGCCAGCCTCAGCAACGGTGAGGCACTAAGTAACACAGTGAGACCCTGTCTCTAATAAAATACAAAAATTGGGCTGGGAGCATGGGAGGATTAGACAAACTCTAGATAGAGCAAAGGAAAGGTAGGGGAAAGGAGGGAGCATGGGGGTAGGAAAGACGGTGTAATGAGATGGACATTAAGTACATGTATGAAGATAGGAATGGTGTGACTAATTTGTGTATAACCAGAGATTTGATAAATTGTGCTCTATATTTATAATATGAATTATAATGCATTCTGCTGTCATATATAACAAATTAGAATTAAAAAAACTTGGGCTGGGGATGTGGCTCAGTGGTTGAGTGCCCCTAAATTCAATCCCTGGTACCCCACCCCCGCAAAAAAAAAACAAAAACTTAAGTACTCTATCACTGAGCTACACTCCCAGCCTGTGTACAGGGATCTTTATGTGTTTTATTACACTGCTAATCCTCAGCACCTTATAATTGTTGACTTAATTAAAACAAGCTACAGTAATTGCTATTATTGCTACTTGAGTTTAAGAATAGCATTGAAACACACTTATTAAAAGAATTAGGTTTTCAACAATCCATTGCTAATAAGTATTGTTAATTAGATTTTTAAAAATCCCTTTTTATGGGGAAAGGTGTGGCCAAGTAATACAGCCTGTGCCCTGGGTTCCATCTCCAGCACCTGGAGCGGGGGAGGGTCACTCTTTAAACAACAATTAGGAAACATAAAAACTGCTCCTAATAATTCGTGTGGCCTGAACTTGGATTGTTAAAACATTTTTAATACATTGCAAAATAAGTTAATTAGTTCTATGATTATTTTGCCTGTCACAGAACAAACTTTAAGTCTTCTTTCTCTTAGTAAGTTAATCCTAGTCATACTATGGCATTCACCTCTTCACTCAAGGCCATCCAAGACTAAAGATACTAGTTATCTAAAGAAACAATGCCAGTTTTTATCTATACTGTGTAAAATGTTCTAAAACTATCAGCATCACTGAAGAGCCTCTAAGACTCACACCCCAGGCCAACTGCATAGGAATCTCTGAGGGTAGGGGTCAGGAAATTGTGTTTTAACAAAGTCCAAGTGAGGTTTGAGAAGCCCTGCTCTATAGCAACTCTGAGTGCTCTATAGATCGGAAATAAATTTCAATTCGCGTCCGAATAACTGGAAGACAGTAGAAAAGATTGCTCAGGGATTCCCCGCCCCCAGGATTCAGTTTTATGCTACTGCCTTAACGTTCTCTATCCACCCTTCACCCTTGTTCTTACCAGCTAGATTGTTGTAGCAGTCTGTCTGGGTCGTGTGCAGGATATTTTCTTGTTCAGGTGTGAGAGCCGGGCCCTGAGGTCCTAGATTAGGTATCGGGGAGGGAAGACTTGGATCCAGACCCCGCAGCTGAAGCAGAGCTCGATGGTACCTACTCACTGCATCACGGTACTTCCCTTCCCGATAGCGCTGGTTCCCTTCTTCCTTGTATAGCTGAGCCTCCTGCAGGCGTTTCTCCATAACTCTTGGTCGCCCACTGCTCTAGTGGAACTGGGAAGTGAAAGAGCACTGAAACTCTGGGCTTGGGATCAAAACAATTAATTGATTTTGGTAGTCGACTTGATTACTCTTCTCCAGGAGAGACCCCGGGAGGGAAGCTTTGCTTGTTTCTAGCCACTCCCGACACCACTTCTCTGCAGTCTTTTTCAGTCTCCGGAAGTGCAGGAAATTAGTTAGGAAAAGAATGTGGGAATAATGAAGCCAAAGATTGATTTCCTAACGAATCAACCCTGGAGAAAAGAGACTCCGAGAAAAACTAAAGGCCTTGCTAGAGAAATGCGGCAGGCGTGAGAACGCCGGCAGAATCGCTTCCCCCTTTCTTGTGGACACACCTCCCCCCCGACCTGGAAGAAGAAGGGAGTAGGCGGTGACAGTTGCTAAAACACAAGAGGGCTTCCCTCCATCCCGGCTCTTTATTTGTCCTATTCAACAGGCGTTTGCCGATGTCTGTGCTGTGAGTTGAAGGTCCGAGGTGAATGACATCCGTGCTCCCTACCCTCAGGCGAGGCTGAGGAGGCCTCACAAGCGATCCAACTGCAAGGCACCATTCGCCCGGCCAGTTTATGGCGCCCTGCGGAGGCCAAGCCCGGAAGTCTCTTCCCGGGTTTCAGTTTAAGGGCGGGAGCAAGGAGAGGAAAGAGTCTACCTTCCTGACAGTTTGGTAGCTAAAGGGTCGCGCGCATTGCGCCACACCATCCAATCAGAAGCGGCTCCGGAAAAGTAATCCCGCAGAAACGACCCCGCCTACCTTAGCGGACCAACCCGAAAAAAAAAAGATCCCCCTGGTCTCTTCGCCAATTGGAAAAATCCGAACGATCACGGATGACCAATCAGAGCGGCAGACGACGATTCAAGCTGGCCAATGAGAGAGACATAAGGCGGGATCAGGGAGTCTGTTGCTAGGTAGAAGTTGAGACATTCACAGAAAAGGAAGGCCAAGGAACAGTGTATTCTCTGGTTCTGGAGAGCCTTTTGCCTACTAGTCACTAAAACAACTGCTTTCATGCTGCAACAGCTTCTAGTTACTTTCAAGACGCTGTTGCATACACAAGAATAGGGAAGACAAGCCGCCGAGCAAGCAGTCCTAAGACGCTGTGGCGACTGGAAGTGAACCCGGAGTACAAGTGGTGAGAGAGTTGGAGGGGCGCATGATAGGGGAGTTCCGGGCGGCTGCGCAAACCCCTGGATGAAGTACGGAAAGACGAGCGCGCACACTCTTCCTTCCTACGAGGCACTTGATCCGCAGCCAGCCTAGCCCTTCTCGGACCCTGCTGCGGCTGCGCGGTAAAACCATTGTCGCTGATTGGCCCGGGGAGCGAGAGGGGCGGGAGGAGGAGGAGGAAGGGAACTCCGTCGTCCTCGGCGCGCGCCCGCCCGCGGTAGGGAAACTGAAGGGCTGGAAGGGAAGCTGCTCCCTGTAGCGTTGTTTTGGGTTCCTTGAGGCAAAAGGGGGAGGGGAGGAAGAAGGCGACAAAAACACTACGCAGTGGGGACTGCGCGGCCTCCGCCACTGCGTGCGTGCGTGCGCTCGCTCGCGCGGGCCCAGTGCTGGCGCGTGAGGCGGAGGCGGGCGGCGGCGGCGCCTGCGCGGTCGGGCTCGGTCGACGGTTCGCAGGGGAGGAGGCGGCGGGAGGCGGAGGAGGCGGCGGCGGCGATGGAGGTGAAGCGGCTGAAAGTGACCGAGCTGCGGTCTGAGCTGCAGCGGCGGGGCCTGGACTCGCGCGGCCTCAAGATGGATCTGGCGCAGCGGCTGCAGGAGGCGCTGGACGCCGAGATGCTCGAGGACGAGGCTGGCGGTGGCGGCGCCGGGCCCGGCGGGGCCTGCAAGGCGGAGCCTCGGCCTGTGGCCGCGTCGGGCGGCGGCCCGGGCGGAGACGAGGAAGAGGACGAAGAAGAGGAGGAGGAGGACGAGGAGGCGCTGCTTGAGGACGAGGACGAGGAACCACCCCCTGCTCAGGCCTCGGGCCAGGCCGCGCAGCCGCCGCCAGAGCCCCCGGAGGCGGCAGCCATGGAGGCCGCAGCCGAGCCCCATGCTTCCGAGAAGCAGGCAGAGGCCACCGCCGGGTCAGGTGGCGTAAATGGTGGCGAAGAGCAGGGCACCGGCAAAGGAGAGGAAGACGAACCCGAGGAGCGGAGCGGGGATGAGACCCCAGGATCCGAGGCTCCGGGTGACAAAGCCGCAGAGGAACAGGGTGAGGAGCTAGCAGTGCCCGACTCCAACCTGCTGGGTGCACCCCTTATCCAGCACCTCGCCCCGCGTCGCGGGTTCGATCCCTTGTTCCCACTTACCTGAAAGTGCACGATTCCCGATGGGATGGTGGCCTTCATCCTCTGCCCACGTTTCTGAGTGGTTTGGCCACTTCTGTGGCTCCACTGTTTGCAGGAGGTTAGGTTCCAGCCTAACTTGGTTCCTTAGTACTAATGGATGAAAGAGTTATTTTGCCTCAGAACTGCTTGAGAGCTACCTGTGGAGCAGTCTCTCTCAGTGTTCCTTACCTTTTTCATAGCCAAGGAATTGGTGATTACGGGGACTAATTGACTGACAGTTGCAGGCTTAGGCCTTTGAGCTGACTGTTGACTTTCTCACTGTAAAAATATTAAGCAATAAATTAAGTTATCAAAGTTCTCTTGTCAAAAGCATATTGAGGGCTGAGGTTGTGGCTCAGTGGTAGAGCACTTGCCTAGCATGTGTGAGGTACTGGGTTCAGTTGTCATCGCTGCATATAATTAAAGTCCATTGACAACTAAGAAAATATTTTTTAAAAAACATTGATAGATATTGAGCCACGCAGAGAATCTGGAAATTTAACCTTGCTCCTTGCCTGAGCAGTAGGGGACAGCCTCTAGTGTGAGCTTGTTGAGCTTAATAGTTAACTAGTGGAGAGTCTTAATCTGGTGCATTTGGAACAAGTAACTTGGCTAGGGCATTTATCTTGCCTGTATTCTTGGGACTAAATTTTAATCATCTTACTGAGTCAGTGAATGGACATATTTGTAGATTTACTGTACAGTTGCATTAGACTTTTACATTTCAGGTTCCTGACTTCCTGGATTGAAATGATTGAGGTTCTGGTTGGTCCTTGAGTAACCTGGTGGAAGACACTTTGTAGAGGCTCCACAGAGAGTTAGTGACCTTTCTCCTTTTGAAGTGATTGGATGGATAGTTGATCCATAACAGTATCTATCAGGGAGGGAAGCTAGAGTTCCTTCCTTGTCTTACTGTAAATTGGGTTGCCTTAGTTCTTTTTATAATGTTTTTTTAAGACTACTACCAAGTTAATTGGAACCTATTTTACAACAGTCACACACACCTTGCAGATTTTGTCTGATGTCCTGGAACAAAAATCATATTATGTAACCTTTGACTTGTGTGTACTCAGATAGCACATAAAAAAACATTGAAGGATAAAAGACTGCTTTAAAAAAAAAATTATAAGCTTTCTTAGGTTAGAAATGTAGCTCAGTGGTAAAGGGCTTGCCTGGTATGGAGGAAGCTCTGGGTTTGATCCCCAGCATCACAAAATAAATAAAAACCTTCTTAGTGTTGCAAAATATAAAAGTCTAAGGAAAAACTGTCCCCCACCCTTTTGTAAAGAATGTTGCTAAATATATGGCAACACCTTTCTGCCCCAAATTACCTGCAGTAAAGATATGCAGTATTATTTATGGGTATCTTATGACTTGATGGTTTGCTCTTGCAACTTTCAGTTAAAAAAAAAATTCCCTGATTAAGAATATAGTTATGTATCATGTACTTGAGTTTATTTGCTGTATAAACCAGCCATGAGCAGCTATGCACTTTAATGCAGGAAAAGCAGACTCTAAAATTTGAGCTATTTATATCATGAATCTGGGAAAATATTAAAAATACTAGGTTCCTACCTTCAAATCTGGTAAGAATTGAAATAAAATTAACCTGAAGGTTTGTCAAAGATCTAGGAGTATTTTTGTGTGTGTGTGTGTGTGTGTGTGGTATTAACGGGGAAATCTGCAAGTTTGACCTGATTTAAGCAGATAAATTTAGAATGCAAAAATTGTCCAATTTTTATCTACTGCTTGACTGTAATTAGTCCATAATGTCCTCCCTCCCCCACCATAAAATTCCAGCCAATGACAGAAAGATAATGTTTGGAAATAAAATGTTCTATGGATGCAGTGGGAATAACCTGACTATTTTGATTAGACAGATCCTCAGATCCCCTTTAGTTTCTATTGGTCTGAGCTTATTCTACACTCCAGTATGAAAACTGCTGATTTTCTTTCCCTCCTTTTTGTAGGAGATGATCAAGATAGTGAAAAGTCAAAACCAGCAGGCTCAGATGGTGAGCGGCGGGGGGTAAAGAGACAGCGGGATGAGAAGGATGAACATGGCCGAGCTTACTATGAATTCCGAGAGGAGGCTTACCACAGCCGGTGAGGGAAACAGTCCCTTTCCTTGAAGGGAGTGTCTACTCTAATTTTGGTATACCTGGTGTTGATTGGAGAGTCTGGAAGGAGGGGTGGATTAAAAATGGAATAGGTTTTTGTAGGCATAAGTTTTTAGATTGAATCTACCATAGAAGCTCCTATTGCCCTTTCTCATTTATTGAAAGAAGCTGTCTGCTGGGATTTGATATTCACTGAGAGTTTAAAATGGACATAATGTCCTGCAGACACCCCTCAAAGAACAGGACTTTGGTTACATTGTATTTGCTTTTCTCTCATGTATATAGCTCAAAGTCTCCACCACCTCCAGAAGAAGAGGCAAAAGATGAGGAAGAAGATCAAACTCTTGTGAACCTGGACACATGTATGTCTAAGGCAGATAGATTTGGGGTTTTTAATTTACCTCCTAAAAATGATTCTGGGTATTAAAATTTCATGGCTAACAAATTCCAAGAGACTTTGTGTCCATTTGTAACAACTGGGCATATTTGTACACTTTTGGTGGATCTCACGTTAACCATTATAGTAAACCAATTCCATCTTTCTTTCTTAATAGATACCTCGGATCTCCATTTTCAAGTAAGCAAAGACCGTTATGGAGGGCAGCCACTCTTCTCAGAGAAGTTCCCCACCCTTTGGTCTGGGGCAAGGAGTACTTATGGAGTAACAAAGGGAAAAGTCTGCTTTGAAGCCAAGGTACTAGCTCATGAAGATCATTCATTTATTAAACTGTCTAGTGTCAAATAGGTTGTCCTCCATGGTTTTGGTTTAAGTTCAGTGAAAGTTATTCCAATATTCAATTTTAATAGTTGTCATTTTTTGTTTGTATAAAAATTGTCTTTTAAGGTGGGCATGGTGGCACATATCTATAATCCCAGTGACTTGGGAGGCTGAGGCAGAAGGATCACAAGATCAGCCTCAGCAACTTATTGAGAACCCTGTCTCAAAAAGGAATGGGAATGTGGCTCAATGGTAGAGTGCCCTGGGTGTTCAGTTCCTAATACCACCAAAAGAGATGTGTATTTCTAACTCAGACTTTGCTCCTGAGTTAGAGTATGTAAGAATTCCTTTTCTGACTTAACCAGGTAACCCAGAATCTCCCAATGAAAGAAGGCTGCACAGAGGTTTCTCTCCTTCGAGTTGGGTGGTCTGTTGATTTTTCCCGTCCACAACTCGGTAACATTATTTTGTAACTTCTTTGCTTGTGTTTGCTAACATATTGCTTAGTCTATGGGAACTTTGGGGATAGGTGACTGATTTGTTGACTGTTCTAGGTGAGGATGAATTCTCTTATGGTTTTGATGGACGGGGACTCAAGGCAGAGAATGGGCAGTTTGAGGAATTTGGCCAGACTTTTGGGGAGAATGATGTCATTGGCTGCTTTGCTGTAAGTATTCCTGAAGCTGTAGATTGATAACATGGAGTAGATAAAGGGCCCTAGAAATTCAACTGTGCTTCCCATCAACTGTTACCCTTTATGTATTTGATGCATGTAACAGTTTGAGTGTCAAAAAAGATTAAAGGATAAGATTTAATCTACCTCAAACCTCGTTACCCATAAGTTCTCATGCCTTTTGACCTTATAGAATTTTGAAACTGAAGAAGTAGAACTTTCTTTCTCCAAGAATGGAGAAGACCTAGGTGTGGCATTCCGGATCAACAAGGAATCCCTGGCAGACCGGGCCCTTCTACCCCATGTCCTCTGCAAAAACTGTGTTGTAGAATTAAACTTCGGTCAGAAGGAGGAGCCCTTCTTCCCACCACGGGAAGATTATGTGTTTATCCATGCTGTGCCTGTTGAGGACCGCATTCGCACTGCAGTCCCTCCCAAGACCATAGAAGAGTGTGAGGTATGACAAACACTATACACAAACTTTTAGGTCTGTAATGCTAGATCTTTTCTCTAAGCATTACCAAACTGATTTGGGGTAGATGTTCTTAAATTGGATCTTATAAAAGTGGCCTACATTTCAATACATTCCTGGTTCTCTTTACTTGCAGGTGATTCTGATGGTGGGACTACCTGGATCTGGAAAGACCCAGTGGGCACTGAAATACGCAAAAGAAAATCCTGAGAAAAGATACAATGTCCTGGGAGCTGAGACTGTGCTTAATCAAATGAGAGTGAGTTTTGGGGGATTAATCAGATACATACTATACACTTTGGGGGTGCCAATAAACTCCTATAACCTGTTGTCAGTGAAAAAGTTGGTCTTTGAAGTGTCTGAGAACAAGGGTCCAACAAACAGTCATAAATTTTTCTGTGTATGGGTGGGTGGTGGGTTTTTTCATTTGTTTGTTCATTTGTTTTTAGTATTCAAGATTATACCCAGGAGTAGTTTACCACTGAACTAAATCCTTTCTCCCTACTCCCCCCCTTCCCCCCCCCTTTTTTTTTTTTACTTTTATGTTTTGAGGCAGTCTTACTTTCTGAGATTGGCCTTGAACTTTTAATCCTACTGCCTCTGCCTTCTGAGGTGCTGGGATTACAGACATGCACTACTGCACCCAGCTATATATGTTTTAAATTTAAAAAAAATTTTTTTTTTTCTGTGCTGTATTAATTTCTGAATACAGACAAAATCTTAAATATATCATCCAGGTGGACTGGAAATAGATAACATTCTTATAACTGAGAGAGGAATCAATCAAAGCAGTGGCAGTGGCTCTTGGGCTTTCACTTACTGCATAACTCCTTGCTTTCCTTTTCCCTTCCCTTATGTTTACCAGATGAAGGGGCTTGAGGAGCCAGAGATGGACCCTAAAAGCCGAGACCTTTTAGTTCAGCAAGCTTCCCAGTGCCTTAGTAAGCTGGTCCAGATTGCTTCCCGGACAAAAAGGAACTTTATTCTTGATCAGGTATTGTTCAAACATTCAGAAGAAACCTGATTTTTATAGAAGATGCAAGGATGAAAATTTGGCACCCAGTTAAGTTGATAAATCTGTTTATAGTCAAAGTGGGGTGCATAAATAGACTGAATTAAGGGGCAAAATTAGGTTACCTAATATGACCAACTGGTTGTGAGTTATGATTTTAATGTTTATGGAACTTTATAGAGGTATCTCAAATTAGTATTTTTGTCTGAGACTATGTGGACTCATATAATAGAGGCAATAGAAGGAGAATTAGAGCTCATTTGAGTCATGACTCTTATCACTTATTAGATTTGTGATCTTGGACAAGTCTCTCAACCTTACCTGAACCTCAGTTTTCCTGATGTACAAAACACAGTCACACAGAGTTTGAAAAATTAAAGGAGATCATGTATTACATGATTGAGACCTAATCTTATATGGTTGAAGTTGAGTGGTGGCTTTAATCCCTAAACATCTATTATTCCTCCTGATCCTAGTGTAATGTATACAACTCTGGCCAGCGGCGGAAGCTATTGCTATTCAAGACCTTCTCCCGGAAAGTGGTGGTGGTTGTCCCTAATGAAGAAGATTGGAAGAAGAGGCTGGAATTGCGCAAGGAAGTGGAGGGAGATGATGTGCCTGAGTCTATAATGCTAGAGATGAAAGGTGGGCTAAAATTATAAGTTAGGGATCCTGACCCTGTTCAGCGCACACTGTATTGGGATCCTTTAGTACCAGGAGTGACTCTCCACATCTGAAGTATAAATCTAATGTGCTACTTAATAGATGTAAGCACTTGAAATAAATGATTGAGCAGAGTAAATGGAGAAGCAGTCACCCCTTGACTCATCCTGTGTAAGACCCAAAATAGGGAAAATGATAATAGATAACAGGATAATTAAAACTCATATAAGGACTGGGGATAGTAGTTGAGTGGTAGAATTCTCACCTAGTAAGGCCTTGGGTTTCATCCCAGCACTACAAAAAATAAAAGTAATAAATTAACACTTCCTTGAGATAGCTACTAATGGAATAAATATTTATGGCATGTCTCCTTTTTGTTCAGCACAGTTCTAAACATAAGGAAATAGCATAAAAACTCTCCCTTCATGGGATTTGTATTTCATGGAAAGGGAATAGAGTTCAGATTAAAATGTGGTGATGGGAGTATCTTGATTTCTGATACCTATAGGCTTACATTTTGTTGTTCTTTGCCCTTTTTTGGCAGGGGTGGGCGTATGGGCAGGGCTTGTTTTTTTGTTTTGCTTTGTGATCCTGGGGATTGAACTCCGCTACATCCCAGCCCTTTTTATTTTGAGACAGTGTCTCACAAAATTGCAGAGGTTGGCCTCAAACATGACATTCTCCTGCCTCAGCCTCCTGAGTTGTTGGAATTACAGGTGAAGGCCACTGCACTCAACTGTTTTTTTTGGCATTGAATGAAATCATTAATACATTACAATGCCTGAGAACAAAGTCCACACAAGGTAGCCTTAGCTATTTTGATGACCCCCTCTTCCTACTGTTTGCTTAGGATTGTGATTCCTCCCTTCCTTTTTAAAAAAAAAAAAATAATATTTGTTTTAGATGTAGTTGGGCACAATGCCTTTATTTATTTATTTATTATGTGGTGCTGAGGATTGGACCCAGGGCATCGCATGTGCTAGGCGAGCGCTGTACCTCTGAGCCACAACCCCAGCCCTCCTTCCTGTCTTATTTGATGGCATCGCACCTACCCTGTCAACTGCTGGCCCTTTATATTCTGATAATCCCTAGCCATAGGGACTGGTTTACACATCTGTGGGCCAGGTTCTCCAAGTTTATATAGAATGAATTATGCCAGTGCATGACTGATAGTCGGGCAATCAGGAATTTAGTTCATAAATTTAGTTATAACCACCTATCAGGTACCAGGATATGTATTAATCTGCTCAAGCAAAGAAACCACATCTGGTATAGCAGCTGCAATTGGACTCACCACCTGATTAAGCTAACAAATTAAAAAGCAAAACAAATCAAAAAAACTGCCATTCTCAAAGACTCATCTCTCTGGTTTTATAAAACAGGGCTAACTGGGTTTTCTTTAAAATCATGGGATTCCTGTTGAAATGAATTCTCCTCAGACTTAACCTATGAACTTAATATGTCCAGAGACTGGCAAATATGTTCTCCAGTCTTGTACAGGTGGTAAATGAGAGGTTTTGTATTCTTTGTTTTCTGTGGTCCTTGTAGATTAAGAGATTCTTCTGGGCTTGAATTTCTTTTAAATTAAATCTATTCAACACCAAAACTTTCTCAGTTACTTTTAGCTTCTGTTACTTCTATCCTGATAAGAAACTGTAATCAGTTCACTACTGACTTGTTATGGATCACTTGAGAACTTGTAAATATACTGTCAGCAGATAACTCTTTGCCTGGGACTGATAGAATTTAGGGAAACTTAGGGAAGAGAAAGTGAATTTGATTATTTAAATTGAGTCCATATGATCCCAGTATATTTTTGTTCATTACTAAATGAGGTTTAGAAAGTCTTTTGCTTCCTGTAGTAAAATTTTCATAATGAGTTCTTACCCATCTATGCACTTTTCAGGCCCACAAGCTTCTCTCTTACTCTTATAGCCAACTTCTCTCTGCCTGAAAAATGCGATTATATGGATGAGGTGACATATGGGGAGCTGGAGAAGGAGGAAGCTCAGCCCATTGTCACCAAATACAAGGAAGAGGCAAGAAAGCTGCTGCCCCCCTCCGAGAAGCGAACAAACCGCCGAAACAACCGGAACAAGCGTAACCGGCAGAACCGAAGCCGAGGCCAAGGATATGGTGAGTCCTGGAACCTGCCAGCCCCCAGCCTCAGTCTGTCCTTTGTGCTGAGTACAGCAAGACCCTCAGTGAAAAGCCAGGAAACCAAGACAAGTCCTTAACAATAAGGAAGTGCCTTCTTTATGGAGCTTACTTCTTGCTATGTCATTTACCCCCCAGCTGTTTCTTTTGCTTTTCCCATAGTCCTTCACTTTTCAACAAAAATGTTTCTTTGAAAAGTGCGGTGCCTTCTGGTCTGTCTAGTTTTCACATTAATGTGGGTTCTCCACTGTGTTGGTGTGTTAGGAGGAGGATTTGTGCAGTGAAATCTTGATTATCAAGTTTTTTTGCTGTTTTGTCTTTTGGATTAACCCAGCTGTATAGATCAGAAAGTAAACGCATTATTTGGTAATTTTGGGGGGTTACAAAGCAAACTAGGCTGTTAATGAAACTTCCCCACTGAATGTCTAGTTTAAATCTAAACCTCCAGTATACCTTCATTACTCTTTAAAAATGTGTGTGCATGCGTGTGTGTGTGTGTGTGTGTGTGTGTGTCAGCAGAAGTTTTAAGTTCCTGCTACATGCTGGACGCTAGGAATAATTCCCACCCTCAAGAAAAGGAGTATATTGAATAGACTTTGTTCCCTTTGTATAAAATGATGGATATGAGTTGTATGATATCTTGGGGCTTCCAGGGCTGAATCTGTGACTTTAAAATGGCAGTTTTTACTTGTGTTTCTAACTCTGCCATGTATACTTTTGCCATCTTAAATGTTTTGCAGGAATTGGGGAGCTTCAAAAACAAGGTGGCTTGGTTTTCTTATGTCTCTGATTCCTCTGCCCTCCCCCCAGACTTTTTTTTTAAAGATCCTGGCTGGTGCTTTAAGTAACATGTGTGAGCCTGGCCCAAGCAGGCTTCCTATTCTCCCAGAATTGCCTTTGGCTCCACTTTTTTGATTTCCACTCAGACGTGGAGCCAGGACCCCACGCCAGCTGTCTGAGCGCGCTCTCCATTTCTCTTCCAGTGGGCGGGCAGCGCCGAGGCTACGACAACCGGGCCTACGGGCAGCAGTACTGGGGGCAGTCTGGAAACAGAGGGGTGAGTGCAGCTCTCCTTCTGCTCTTCCCTTTGGCCTGTGATAGCCATTCCTATTGGCTTGGGGGAGCAGAGGGGTTTGGGCTGTTTTCTCAGGGCTTAGGGTTTTGCCCTTTAATGTATTCATCTGGAAGAATTTATCCTGGGAAAAGTATTTGTTGTATTTATAATATCAAACTAAGACATGAGATGTTTAAGAGGGGGTAATGGTGGTCATGCTGCTGCTGAAAACTCATAAATCTATTCCTCCTCTCTCCTCAGGGTTACCGTAATTTCTATGATCGATACAGGGGAGACTATGATCGATTCTATGGGCGAGATTATGAGTACAACAGATACAGAGACTATTACAGACAATACAATCGGGATGTGAGTATCTTCCTGGGGTAGAGGGTGGTGGGGGCAGGACCAGAAGGATGAGTTTGTGCTTTCTCATCCTCAACCAGCTCTGGCTCCAAGTGATGGGGTTTCACCTCTCTTCTAGTGGCAGAATTACTACTACCACCACCCCCAGGACAGAGACCGATACTACAGGAACTACTACGGTTACCAAGGGTATCGGTGAAGCCCCTGATGTTGACGCCTGTCAGCCATGAAGCTGAATCTCTAGGGGTGCCAGGCACCCCCCAAAACACAACCAAGGAAAACAGGGGCTGTCGGGGTGGGGCTGAGCTGCCGGGGAGGGGGGGGGGGGGGGGGCGAAAGGGGGGGTGGGGGGGGGGAGGTGGAAACAAACAACAAAACTGTACATTTTTTTTAAAGTTTGTTGAAAAGAATATTGTCTTATTCTATAAAACATTTCAAACCTAGTTAGATATTTGTAATCAAAAACATTTGCGCAGAAAGCAGCACTTAGAGCTGCCTGTTCTATACCCTGCAGTTGGACAGGAAAAGAACTAAAAATGTCACCCTTCTGACATTCTAAGGCAGCTGGACTGGCAGCCAAGAAAGGGACAGTGGTGTCGTGGTGGGGAGAAGGGGAACAGTGTGAGAGTACCTTCCATAGCAGGTAGGAGCAGGCAGGAGTGGGCCAGAGGGAGCGCTTGTGACCGGGGCAGTGAAAATAAACGATTGGCTCTTATCAATCACTTGCACCAACTAACCGTTTGTATTTTCTTTACCGACCTTTCCCTCTTGGGATATCTGGTCTGGTGGGCTGGGAGGCCACAGTATCCCAGTGTCCACTTTGCTGTGCCTTTGTCCTGCTTGGCTAAGGCACAGAGACTTCTAGTTGGGTGGTTCTATTATATAGGATTCCCAGGCCAAGGAGGCACGGGATCTGTTCTAGATTGCAGAGCAGAATAGCTTGTTCCCTATATGTACCCATTAATGAATTCCCATAAAGTTTTGGGGAGAGTGGGGTCACAGCCCTCAGCCTGAAGATTGTGATTTGCCAGTCTCTAGTCTCTGTCTTCCGAGGTTGAGAGAGGTAGGAGGTCTCTAAAATCATCTGTTATAGTGTCTGCCTCTTATAGTGTGAGAGAAGGAACGTTTCTCAGGGTTTCAGCTCACAGTAATGCAGGAGGATTCTGTTCACTGCAGCAGGATATGTATATAGGTGAATCCTGTGGTGTGGGCTCCCAGGCCCAGGTGCTGAGAATAGCAACTATTTTATACAGTATGGGGGGGGCTCTGCCCTGCTGGTCTTTTTGATACACAGGTAGAGAATGAATAGAAAAGGGGGGTGGGGGGTGGGAGGCAGCTCAGTGGGGCTGCTGAAACTTGGGCAGAGTGAGTGTGAATGTGTGTGCACATGTGTGTGTGAAAGGGAGCACCCTACTCAACTTCCTGAAACAGGATTCTTTCTGGGGTAGCTTTCCCTGTGTGTCCCCAGACAGGCCTCTAGCCAGGAGACTTCAGTTGGGATCATTTAGTTTAACTTTACCAACACCTTCCCACTTCTTGACAAAATAGCTGCAGGTTGCTGGGTTCAAGAATATGGGTGGGATATGGAAATGCTCTTTCAATTCAGCTTCAGTTTTAATTCATCTTCCTGCTCAGCATTGTGTCAGCCAAGAGCTTACTCAGCAAACACCATGTATTGCAGCACTCCCTAGTGAGAAAACCCCGGGTTGTGCTACTAGAAAATGCTTCACTTCCATTTCCTTACCTGGCAGTTCTCTTGTTTAAACTTTTGTGCTGAGATTTGATCTCTCTTCTCCCACTGTCCCTGCCAGGCAGAGCCCTTCTCTAGGTGTGCAGACCCTCATTCTGGCCTTCTAATCCTCCCTGTCTGTCCCGACACATCCTTCTGCTTAAGCACCTCTGTACCCGAGACTGGAACAGGGGTCTGGTAGGAAATAAGTTTGCTTGCTCATAATGATGTCTTTTCTCTTGGCACCTGCTTCCTTGAGGTGCCATCAAATGGATTTGTATGTGGCGGTGGGTGAAGTGATTGCATGAACTTTTCTATAACCCACTTTTTATTATTAAGGACTTTTAAGAAAGCTTTGCTCATAGTATCGGGCAAGGAGGTAAAAACTGGAGCCCAAAGAAATTCCCTTAGGGCAAGATTATGTTAAAGTAGAAAACTGAATTTCCTGAGATAGAGGCTGCCCCTCACCCCCTTAAGTACTCAGTCCTCCAGCATATAGTATTTTCTTACAGTTGGTGACATGGATGGTGGTCCTCAGGAACAGGGGAACAAAGCTTAAACCATTCTGAGGGTTTTGTTCTGGGTGGTGACAAGGGAAGTACTTGCCATTGATTTTTGACACTAGAAAGTCATCTTTTTAAAAAAAGCTGTTTTTCTAGGTGGGTAGAGAATGAAACTGCCACATCCTTGTTGGATCAGTCTAAGAGATCACTCAAGCAGTGGATGTCTGGATTTTGTTTCTGTCTGTCTATTATGAAAAAACAAATGTTAAAGGGGGGGAAATGTGGATTATGGTAACAGGAGGGATCCCTAGCCTTGTTTTCCTTAGAAGACTTTTTAGTGTTTTATCAGATGTTTGTTGTAGTTGTAGATGGAAAAACTTGTGAGAAAAACAAAACACCACATGGAGCCTGTAAATGTTTTTGCACAACCTGTAAAGCATTCTTGGAAGTGGCCAGTAAAAAAGGGTTTTACCATTTAAAAAAAAAAAAAAATGTAACTGTGTCATTGTTTACATCTGTAACTTTTTCCTCCCCTGTTCTCATTACAACATTCTGGCAAAAATGTAGGCACAGTAGCTTCCAGTTTTAGAATAAATAACCATTTGGATTGAATTCACCCTTTCTCCTGTGGCTGCACTGACTGGGTTGTGTTTACTCGTTCATGTTTTTTAAAGCTTATTTCTCAAGTTGCACTGGGTCCAACCAAGGATGGCTTTCCCTTGCATGGCTGCTGTTGCCTTCCTTTTCTACCATACTTCACATGGGAGCCAGCTGTACATTGGCGGTGAGGGGGCCAGGGTTCTTAGCTCTTGATTATGCTAAGAGCTTGAGCCATTAGAGTAGAAGAAAATAAATTTTAACTTCACCTCTGTATACTTGGACTGTGATAAAATCATTGGATATTTGGGGTTAAATGTAAGGGTCCATATATGAAAGGAAATAAGTTTATTTATTTATGAGTGATGACTACCTTGGAGGAAAAGCCTACTCGTTCAACAGATATTTGGGGGTGCTTTTTTTTTTTTTTTTTTTTTTTTGGCGGTACTGAGGATGGAACCCAGAGCTAGGCCAGCACTCTACAACTGAGCCAAACTCCCAGCCCTGTAACTGCAATTTCTAATGGTGGGGTTGTTCATCATTAAGGCTGACAGATCATAGGCTCTTAGTATATACCATGTCTGAGTGGTATTAATGTAGACACTGTTTTAACAAACCCCCGCTTCTGTAGGTGACACATTCAGATTTCAGGGTCTTAAAACTTTGTACCCTAGGGACTAGGGTTGTAGCTCAGTGGTAGAGCGCTTGCTTTGCATGTGTGAGGCACTGGGTTCCATCCTCAGTGCCACATTAAAAAAATAAATAAAGGTATGTTTGTTTACAACTTAAAAAAAAAAAACCTGTACCTTAAATGTCATTCTTGATTTTGATCACTGCCTATTCACTGGGCATTTATTGTTAGAGCTAAATTAATTATCACCCCACCCAGGTGCTAAGGTTTGAACCCGTCTCATAAATGATAGGTAAGTGTGATACCACTGAGCTATCCCCCTAGCCCTAATGTGTTGTTTTTAATGGTTATTTATAATTTGTGCCTGTCTATAGTAACTGCCTAGCGCTATTTTCCCCCCAACCAGAGTGATTTTTTTTTTTTAACCTAATGCCAAGGTTACATTTATTGAGCACATTTGGCTTTTTACCAAGGCTGAGCTGGTGTGGAAATTTTCAGTTACTCTCCTGGAATTTGCCCAGCACTGTGATGCAGCAGGAAAAGGGAAGGGTTCTTATTCTCTATGCTCTGCTTGTCACTTCACAGTACAATCCATTCATTGAGTGGCTGCTATGTGCCAGGCATTGTCAGCATGCAGGAATTATGACAGACCTGAGCCTTCCTGTAGTTTTCACAAGTAACAGAAGGAACTAAGCAGATTTTCTGAACAAAATGGGGTTTGGAGTGCAACCAGGTTATTTTCTGTTTCTTAGCCTACAGGGGGAGGGAATTAATTAGATGGCCTCCAGAATCTGTTAGGGCTCAGAAATTCCATCAACAGTGAAATGCTGCTGTTTCAAGGGTACCCTTGGAGCTCATGAGGTCATCTTTTGGAATTGCTGATAAAATACTCTCTATTCCTTTGGTTTCCTCTCTTCCTCTCCCCTTGTTGATTTCCTGTGAGAAGGGGTGGGGAAGCTGGGGTGAAAGGTTATATCTGAATACAGGTCACCTTACTACTACAGCAGGTCAGCCTCTCTATACTCCAAGCATGTCCAGGCACAAAACAAGAGTTGGCCTAGGCTTTTCCCAGGAAGAATGGGTCCCTTAAGTTAATGAGATATTGGGATGCTGGGCTGGGGATATAGCTCAGTTGGTAGAGTGCTTCCCTTGCATGCTCTAGGCCCTGGGTTCGATCCCTAGCACCACAAAAAAACAAAGTTACAGATGTTTTTTTGTTTGTTTGTTTTGCCTTGTTTGGTATCAGAGATTGAACCCCTGGGCACTTAACTGCTGAGCCACATCCCTGACCATTTTTATTTTTTATCTTGAGTCAGCATCGTATTACATTACTTAGGGCTTTGCTGAGTTGCTGAGACTGGCCTGAACTTGCCATCCCCCTGCATCAGCTTCTTTACTCGCGGGGATTACAGGCCTGCGCCAAAAAGATGGTGCCAGGAAGAGACCCCTATTTTGCATTGCCGCCTCAAAGGGAGTCTACTTGGCGAGATACAGAAACCTTCATTTTTCCCCTAAAATCCACGCGATCAGCGCTGGCCACGCTTGCTAACTGGAGCCCTTTTGTCCCATGATCCATCCTTATGGCTGCCCGTGTGCCTTGGACACCACGCGGCGGTCGTCGGGTTCAAAACTGCGGGGTGCAGGCACCGAATTCGTAAGGTTAGGAGCAGCCATTTTGAGATCGACGAACACAGAAGGGTCCATATTGGGAGCGCCCGATGTTCCGGGCACCGCCATTTTGAGAGCATCCCGTACGGCGGGCCGCCCGGTGTGGAGGCCGCCATGTTGGCGCGGCCAGGCGGCAGCCATGTTGGGCGACACAGCGGGCGCAGCCATCTTAGCACAAAGCGGCCCCGGTGCGGTGCCCGGTCCGCCCCGCCCCGCGCGCCCCGCCCCTCCGCTCCTAAGGGAGGGTCGGCCAGCAACTACCTTCCCGCAGCCCCCTAAACCTACCCTGTTCAGTCTGTTTCATGCTTACTTGCCTTCTGTGTGCGCGCGCGTGTGGGTGTGTGTACGATCCCCGCAGCTTCTGAGTGTCCGCTGTAACACCTCTCCCAGTGGCGATGCGCCGCCACCCCGGCCCCGCTGAGCTCCCATCCTTGACAACGTCTAACCTTCTTTGGCCCTGTTTCCGGGGTATGGCAAATCTGTTGTCTAGGATCCTCTACCCCAAGAATGCTAACACAGGAGCTGCCCTCTGAGGTTCTGGATGAATTTATTCTTTAAATGGCTTTAACCTTCCAGTAGCTCCCGGTGTGACTGAGAGCAGGCACCTGGCGCGTCCCTCTCTCCATTGTCTGAACGGGTCACAGAGGGACGTGGACAGGACGCTGGCAGTTTGGCAGAAACCTCTCTGATCGTAGAGCTAAGAGTGCCCTAGTCACGGGTTGCTTGGGGTTGGCCGCAGAGGGTGAGGAGAGGGGTCGATGTGGGTGAGCAGGGTCTTGTGCTTCAGATAACCTCACAGGGCGGGGCAAGGGTAGGAATGGGCTGCGGGGAGCCTCTGAAGCTCTCCACAGTTACCGACCTAAGGAAGGACGGAGAGGGAAAGGTGAGGAGAGTAGGAACTAAGTAGCTCAGAGGAGGGCACAGAAGAACTTCTTTTCTCTGAAGGGGTTCTCCGAAGTGGGCACAGGAGTGATGAGGGGATCCTCACAAGCGTGGGCATCACAGTAAGTCATCAGGTCTGCTGCTGCCTTGGACACCTAGGACACAGCCATAAGAAGGGAAGTTAGCCAGAACCCTTGAAAGGGACTACAGCCTCTTTCCAAAGGGGGTATCTTTTACCATGGGTAGGGCTCCTTGAGACTGTCTTCTCCCTCATCCCCACAGAAACCTGGGGTTAGCTCTCCTAGCAGAGCCCCAGCCTCCTCCCCTAACCTCAGGAAGTCGAGGAAAGAAGCATCTCTTATCAGGAGGTTTGGAAACCTACCACACAGTAAGGCCTGGCCAACTAATCAAGCCAGGGTCCCACCCACCTTTATCCGGCACAGGCTGGCCTCAATCTTTAGCTGTTCCACCATCTTGCGAGCTTGCCCAATACTCATGGTGCTGTTCACAGGAGTCTCCCCTTTCATCCTGGAGAAAAGAGAGTGACAGTTCAGAGCTGTCTCAGCTAAAAGGCCCCCTCTGTGCTTACTCCTCACCAACCTTTACAAGGGTGGAGTCATGCCCCAATATTTTGTTTCCCTCTTATCCCAACCCTCTCTGGTTGCCTGTCCCATCCCTGTCTTCCTCAGTGGAAAAATAGGAGACGGTGGGCCACATGGCCTGGACCCCAGGTCATCAAACATGCAAATGATCTAAGGTTTTTTCAGTCCTTCAAGCCAGGTGTGTTCCCAGTTCTAAAAGCCTCAACCAAAAAGAGCCCCACCCTGATGAGGAGGGCATATCACCCCCACCTATCCTCCTTGAATCCCAATGGGATAAAAAACAAGCTGCTCCCTACTCACCTGAAGTGGCAGGCGGCAGCAGCAGCCTCAGCCCTGGAGTGTAAGGTCAGTGGGGGAGGGGGGGCACCAAAAACTGCCTCAGATGGGGGGGTGCCCCACCCTGCAGGGAGTTGCAGCTGAAAATATCTGATGCAGAAGCAGATAATACAAAAAAGGCTACTGGGAAAGGGTCAGGCCTGAGGTCCGTGAAGGGGTGGTCTCAATTTCTGCAGCTCAAGCAGTGCCTAGATGTCTGATACCTGAAGGATGAAGGATGCTAGAAGGAGCTGCTCAAATCCTGGAGCATACCAACTGCCTGGCCAGTGGGGGAGTCTGGCTGCCACTTGCATCCCCTGAGCACACCCCCACTATTACTGTCTCACTACCTGCCCCTCCCCCACTGCAGGCATCCCAAGCCTGGACTAAAGCCCTCTCCAAAGGAGCTGAGGCCGAAGCAGACTCCCCCCTCAAATGGGGTGGTCTAGGCCTGTGACAGCCCCTGCAGTGGAGTCTTTACTGGCTGTGGGGGACCCTGCTCATTTGAAAATCTGACATCAGCTGGGCAGTCGGCCCCCTCCTCCCTTCCTCTCTACCCTGACACAGCACTTAGCACCTGAATCTTCGTTTCTCTCCCAGGAATCCTCCATTCCCCATACCCAGGAAAATGTGACGCGCTACAGGTGATCAGCTTCTAGATCACTACAGTCTAGCCACAAGTGACTTTTGAGTCGGAGATCCAGGGACAGGAAGATGTCTAAAGAAATGGCAGATCAAAGAGAAGGAGAAGCTGGGGGCAAAGAGGTGTGTGGAGACCAGATCAAAGGATTGGACAAAGAGGAGGTAAGGGGCCTTGTTTGGGAGTCAGTGGAAATATTTTGGAAATAGGTGGGCTTGGGGGAGGGTGGAGGGTAGCAAATAGCGAGGGAAGGTGTATTGATTTGGAAAATTTTCAGACATTTTGAATAGGTACTCCCACGCCTGCAGCATTATGCAAAGATGTACGCACATTTGATTTTGCAAAGTGAAGGAACTTAAGATAGATACAAAATATAAGACGCCATCTGCCAAGACCTAAACTAATGTTTTAGGGAGAGTGTGTCCACTTAGGATCAGAGGAGGTTGATCACTCACTAAGAGCTGGAGACCAATGGCGAGACTGCAATATTGACACGCTTGTAAATAGTGACAGCAGGCCGGCCACCTGCGCAACACCCGGGATGGACTGGTTCCCGCAGAATACAACATCCCCTGAAGGAATACTCCCCGCCTTGGACATGTACAGTTTCTAAGAGCCTTGAGGGATAAAAATCGTAGCCCGCGTCCCCCCCCCCCCCCCCCGCTTCGGGAGTTAAGTGGCCAGTGGTGAAGGGTATGGGCAAAGGGCCGTGCCCTAGCAGAAGGCTGAGGGGACTCTGCTGAGTCAGAACATGCCCTGGGGCATATCTCTCGGAGCCTGGAGGGAGGCGTCTTGCCCCTATGGTCCAGGGTGTAGGGCTGCAGAGAGACGGGGGGGCCGGAAGAGACAGGGCCCCCGCCCCTTGTCAGGTCACGCCCCTGGTGAGGCCCCGCCCCCAGACTGCAATGGCTGACGGCAGAAAGGGGCGGGACTTCTCCGACAGCCGGAAATTCCTTCTCGCCGTTGCCTCGGCAGCGCGCGAGGCTGGTGAGTCTGCGGTGCTGTGGCGGCGGGCGGGCTGGTTTCCATGGTGGCGCAGTTAGGTGGGGGCTCCCGCGCCGCGCCCACCACCGGGCCCGAGGGGACTGGCGGGGAGCAGCCGTTGGCTGCAAGACGCCCTGCCGGGCGTGCGGAGCACCTACCCGAAGCTAGCGCAGCTGGAGGTGGAGAGAAGCTCGGGAGGCAATTGTGACTGCTCTTAGGCTGCTGGCTTTAAGTCCTGCTGTGCGACCGTAGGCAAGTCGTGCATCCTCTCCGTGCAACCACCCGGCACTGTGGATTCGTGTCATCGTGTGGGTTAAAGAGATGATTGAACCCAGGGTCACTCTACCACTAAGCTACACCCCAGCCCTTGTTTGTTTGAGATAGGATCTCTGTAAATTGCTGACTTCAACCTCCAGCATGGGATTATAGGCAGGCACCGTGGGCCTGGCATAAAATTGCTTTGAGAGAATGTCAAGATGCTCATTCTTTGTTTTATGTATTGCTAGCTATGAATGAGTATCAAGCATCAAAATCAGATGCTTCTGGGGAAAGAGTTCAACTGAGAAGCACTGACACTGGGGCAAAGGTATTAAAGGGAAAGGAAGGAATAATTGGCTAGGAAGCCCAACCACTTGGAGAAAGGCCATATGAAAAAAATGACTTTGCTTTACCCTGCTATCTCTGGTTTCCCTAGTCTAATTAACTTGTCTTTTTTGTCCCCACCTGCTTAAGGGAAGGAATCATTCTTTTTTCATTTTTTTCTTTTTTCCAGGAACCGCCAGCTGCCTCATCCCATGGCCAGGGGTGGCGTCCAGGTGGCAGAGCAGCTAAGAACGCAAGACCTGAATCTGGGGCTAGACCCCCTGCTCTCCCTGCCATGGTCAATGATCCACCAGTACCTGCCTTATTGTGGGCCCAGGAAGTGGGCCATGTCTTGGCAGGCCGTGCCCGCAGGCTGCTGCTGCAGTTTGGGGTACTCTTCTGCACCATCCTCCTCCTGCTCTGGGTGTCTGTCTTTCTCTATGGCTCCTTCTACTATTCCTACATGCCGACAGTCAGCCACCTCAGCCCTGTGCATTTCTACTATAGGTGAGAGGGGACTTCTGTCAGAATGGAGGAATCCTGTGTGAGAATTGCTGCAAGGACCCTTGGAGCTTATTCATTTCAGTCCCCTCATTTACAGAAGAGGAAACTTGAGCCTGTTGTGCTAACAGAACTTCTCACCTACCACAACCCAAGGCGGGATCAGGTCTGGGATGGTAGGATTTTAGGGTGCTAGTTCTACCTGTGGTCGCTTATTTCTGGTTAAAAAATACGGGTCAGTTCTGTTTAGGTTCTATCAAACCTCTCTCAGAGCCACTGTAGAAGTTTGAACCAATCCAACCCCTTGGGCATCTCAAAACTCACTTGGCTTTCAGCAGAAGTATTAGGAAATATCTCCTTTGCCTTTTACTTTACTGCCTCCTATCCCAAATAGTCTGCTGCACAATAGATTGTGGAAATACAAGGTGACTGGGTACAAAAACTTGACTCCCAGATGTCCTACTACTTGCCTGGCCCCTTATTCTTTCCCATTTCCTTCACTGTCAGATTCTTTCTCTTATTCCTAAGAATGGGTATAGGACCAATCAGCTGAAGGGGACATTATTATCAGTGGTCCAATCTTTTTTTTTTTTTTTTTTTCCCCTGTCCTGAATCCCTAGTCATGCACTGAAATTTCTAAGGTAGATCTTAAACTTTTAGGGGACATAGATCCTAAGAAACCTATGATCTTTCCTGCCATAATAGTGTATGTACATGCCCAGGTATATGTTGCATACCTACATACTATATAGAGTTTTCCCTACAATTTATCAGTTTAATGACTTTAAAAGTCATCTATAGACCATTTTGGGGAGTTTTCTCAAAATAGGGACCAGACTATAACTACTGAATCAGAATCTCTGGGTTAGGACCCTGGAATCTATATTTTATCAAGTTCTTCAAAGGAGTCTTTAGAAACACCATATCTGTAGGTTCCCATGAGAGGCAATAAACTGAAGTAGCAGGAAGAGAATTGGGGGGAAGTCTGAAAAAAAAATCATTCTAGTATCTTGAATCTACTGGTCACATTTGTTCACCTATCAGAAAGGATTGGGGAGAGAAAGGAACCCTAGGAACCCAAAAGAATTGCAGATATAAGTGGACTCTAACTTAGCAGAGTATCATTCCCCCTTCTCATTTAGGACCGATTGTGATTCCTCCACGACCTCACTCTGCTCCTTTCCTGTTGCCAATGTCTCGCTGGCTAAAAGTGGACGTGATCGGGTGAGTATGGGAGATACAGGGAAGTTAATTAGAGTTTTGATGACTTGAGATAGTAGGGCTTAAGATGGGGAGAACAGGGATTGAGTACGAGACAAGAGGAAGGAAAGCGGGGCTGGGGTTGTGGCTTAGCGGTAGAGCACTTGCCTCGCATGTGCGAGACCCTGGGTTCAATCCTCAGCACCACATAAAAATAAATGAATAAAATAAAGGTATTGTGTCCAACTACAACTAAAATAATACATATAAAAAAAGGAAGGAAACAGAAGTTGAAGAGAAATTAGAATCTAAATGAATAGTGTGTTTTGATCTTTCTGCAGCAGACATTAGGAATATTCTCATTCTCAACAGGTGAGACATGACTTGTTTCAGACAGGTCATATCTGTTAGATAATGTCAGTAGTGTGTTTTGCATTTAGGTGAATAAATCAACTGTTTCATTGGAATAGAATGGCATCCATCCCAGAGTTTTAAAGGCTTGTATATAAAATTATGAAATAGTTGATAAGTATGTGACCTGTTATTTCAAAGGGTATTGTGCCAGAGGACTGGCCACATGCCATTGTGATTTAAACAAACTGAGAATTCTGGGCTGGGATTGTGGCTCAGTGGTAGAGCACTTGCCTAGCATGTGTGGGGCACTGGGTTTGATTCTCAACACCGCATACAAATAAATGAATGAAATAAAGGTCCATCTATGTCTAAAAAAATAAAATAAAACCTGAGAATTCTGATAAATGCATACAAAGACTAAGCAAGCTGGTGGAAGTTCTAATAAAGGATAGAATCCCTGAACTTAAAAAGGATCTTGAAGGCTGGACATGGTGGTGCATGCCTATAATCTCAGCAACTCCACAGACTGAGGCAGGAAGATATGAGTTCAAGGCCAGCCTCAGCAACTTAGCCTAGACCCTTTCTCCTTTTTAGTACTGGGGATTGAACCCAGGGGCACTTAATCACTAAGAAACATCCCCAGCCATTTTTATTTTTTTTATTTTGGACAAGGTCTCACTAAATTACCTAAAGGCCTCACTAAGTTGCTGAGGTTGGCCTTGAACTTGTGATCCTCCTGCTTCAGCTTCTTAAGTTGCTGGAATTACACGTGTGCACCACTATGCCTGGCTAGCTCTGATTTCTCATATACCACTCTGAGGGGTCATCTGCTAGACAAAAATCATTAGAGGGGGTTGGAGGAGCTTGGGGGTGAAATTCAGTCGTAGAGCATGTGTTTAGTATGTATGAGGCCCTGGATTCAATC